TGACCATGGTGTGTAATAAGCACTGAAGGATTCTCTCCATGTGACACCGCCCACAACCATGTGACGGTGAAGGAACTAAAACTGGAGAAACCTGAAGGCTCTCGTCCAGGGTCACACCAACAGGGCTGGCGATCGACAGGGAAGCTCAAGGGACCTCCCGGGCCTCCAGAACCCTGCACGCCTCTTTGTCAGCTGGGAAGCTGATGCTGATTCCAGCTGCCCAGGGCCCTCCCTGGGACTCGGGGCCCCTCATCCAGCAGGCCCAAGAGCAATGACTTTCATGGCAGGGACTTCCAAAATGAGGCTTCATTCTGCAGCTGACACCCGTTTTCCATGCTTTTGCTATGAAATTCTGTGACTGTCGCCCCTGGTGTACAGACTCATCTTCCTCTGCAGCAACAGGCACTTCACCACTTGTTATGTTTTGGATGTGAGGTGTCCCCCAAAAGCTCACATGTGAGGCAGTGCAGAATGTTCAGAGAGAAAGGATTGCATCTGAGAGGGATGAACAGTGGGAACTGAAGTGGTGGGTGTGGCTGGGGAGGGGGAATTGGAGCGTGGCTTTGGGGTATCTATACTTGTATTTGGCGAGTGGAGTCTCTCCCTGCTTCTTGAACACCATGATGTGAGCTGCTTCCCTCTGCCACACACTCCACCATGATGTTCAGCCTCATCTCAAGCCCCGAGAAATGAGGCCAGCCTTCTGTGGATTAAGATCTCTGAAACTGAGAGCCCTCAAATAAACCTTTTCTCTTGGAATTGTGCTGGTTAGGTCTTTAGTCACAGCAGTAAAAAGGCTGACTAAAATACCGCTCTCCTTAGTGCATTGGGGCTGACTTAGCTTATGTTCTACTAGGTTCCATGGAAAAGAGTCCACGTTGATGAGCTATCAATAATCAGTCTTCTCAAATAGGAAGACTAGGAGGCATCGACCAGGAGGCAGCCTTGAGGGAAGGTGGAGTAGCTAAGCAGAATGTGCAGGAGGGCCTTGGGAGCAGGATGGGGCCGGCCCAGGCTTGGGAGCAGACCTTCATCAGAGACGACAGCGTTGGCGACAAAAACTCGCAGAGCCTGGAGCAGAACAAAACAACCAAACTCCTCATCCAAAAAGCAGGACAGACTTTTTTTCTTTTTTTCCTTTTCTCAGTGGTCTTCTCCCAACCCTTGTGGTGGCTTTTATTTGCTATCTAATGTGTTTCTGTGGGAGGACAACCGCAGGGCACGTGCAGACCTTCACAGAAACCAGAGCCTTATCACACAAGGGGCCAAGAATGTCCATGCTAGGTTCCAGGCAGGGGACAAGTCGGCAGGATGCTCCAAATCGCCAGCCTATTCCCATCAGATGCCACAAGCCTTTCGGAGCAGCAGTCAGTAGTTTATGTGTCACGTGAACTGGTTATTTTGGGGCTCCCCCAAAAAAGTAAGCAATAGATGAAGTGTGACTCTGCCTTCAGGATTCTGTCAACTTGCTTTTGGAAGGAGCTGTGGAGGTGGACCTCCATGAGGTGCTGGGTAGGCTCTGGATGCAGCTTTCCTCTTGACACTCACCATGTTTACTTTTCTATCCCAAAATCACTTTGTTTGCAAGAAAAGATCTGATTGACTTACTAATAATTGAGGAAGCAGCCAAATACATTCCCCCTTCCAAAGAGAAACTCATATGCCAAATGTCCCTTTATAACAGTGGATTTACAAGCTCACAAAGGTCCTGTTGATGGTAGTGAAGAGGGAAACACAGGAAAGCGTATGTATTTAGATGGAGATTGTGCCCAGTGCTCTCTCTGTTCAGCTGCTCCATCTTAGCAAGGCCAAGTGCTATAACCCTCAGCCTTCTGCACCCTCTGTTCATGCTAATCTGCAAAGTTTCCCTGCGAAGGTTGAGGCTGGGTCTCTGAACAGGCCAAACAGAATTTCTTAGCCACAACATTTGAGAAAATGTGAAACTGGATCTTGATCACTGGGAACCTGCCATCATCATTAAGCAGAAAGGAAAAAGCAAACAGACATTTGCTCTGTCCAGGACAGGAAGAGCATGCTAATCAGCAGCCACTGCCTGACGGGGAACACTGCAGCCTCAGCTCGGACAGACAGGCTGCACAGCCAGGCAGGCAGAGGCCAGCCGGGCCACAGTCATGCCAGTAGCAATGGAGGTCACCACCAAAGTGTCCAGTGAGCGGCTCCCTTCTGATGAGGGAGGGAGCTAAATGGAGCTTTCTCCATCACTGTCCATCTTCCTCTTCTATACCCTGCGTCCCAGGAACAAGCCTGGGAGCTGAGCCCACAACCTAGATCTTGTGCCTTTCATTCCCTGGGCTTGTCACATTCTTGTCTCTCCTCCTTCTATTCAAGTCTCGTCCCACCTCTCAAGGCCCCGCTCCAGATCCACATCCCTCATCTGCTAATTTACTCAACAAAAATGAAGACTTAAGTTGTACAAAATGCCATGTGACTCCTTGTGTGCAATACAAAACACATTGTGGGGAAAGACTAGCAGGAGAGAGTAAACAGGTTCAAAAGTGGCTCCAACACAGCCAGACCACGAGGCAGGTAGGACCAGGTGCTGCATGCTCACAGTGAGTGGTATTCAAGCCTATTCAAGACATCCTTGAGAAGGTGGCAGTTGTGCCAGCACTTGAGGAGACATCGACATGGGGAAGAACCAGCAGGAACCACTGATGTAAACAAATGGAGGAGGATCGTTCAAGGCATGTGTGAAGAGCACCAATGTGTCCAGCGTGATGGGAAACGGACTTGGAGGTACAGGAATGAGTTGCAGGTTAGACATGCAATGAGGCCCAATTGACATGGCCCTTCCAGAAAAAAAAAAAAAACAGGAAGTGCCACCACCTGACCTCTCTTTGTGGCTTTGCACTTTCAATGGCAGACATTCAACAAACGTGTGTTGAATAATGAATTAATAAGCTAACCACTGTTCAATGTTTCCATATACTATGACCAGGGAAATGTTTTAAGTCAAAACTTAGTTGCTTCAAAGTAATCACCTTTGTTCCCCCAATATTTGTGAAATGAATAATTAGAGCTCTACTGGGTGAAGCAAGATCATGGTGATGACTCACGTTAAGGCACCTTGGGGTGCTTTATCTCACTAACTAAGTAACTTTAATGGAGACAGAGCCAGAGCTGGTGGCCTGGAGGAATCTAGAAGAACTGTGTTTCCCCATCTCATGGATCAGTGTGGGCCAGAGAGGGCACATGTTGGAAATGAATCTGGTAAAAGAGGGGATAAAGCCAAAAGTGACCGGGAAACTTAGAAGACTTGAGAAAGACTCCAAGCTGAAAATACTCACAATCTCTAAAAAATAATAGTAAAGTTGTAATAATAGATTAATAACTATAATTTACTGAGTACTATTTGCCAGACTTGTGATAAATGCCTTATGAATATGGCTTCATTTGGTCCTTCTAACTGTCCTATGAAGTAGATATTAATAACGTTTCACAGATGAGGTAGACAGTGGTGAAACAGCCCACCAGAATAGCTGGGAAGTGGCAGGCCTGGGACTAAGATCCATGTCCTTGCAAGTCAAATTCTAGTTCGGGTACCTTTATGAATGAATGGATGCCCTACCGAGAGAATCGGGACACTCACCGGGCACCAGGTCAGAGGGAGGCCAGGCCCTTCCAGCAGCCTAACCTCTGACACAAGAGCAAATCAGAACCCTAGGACTTTTGCCCATTTGCTGTCCTTAGGGACCTTCAAAGACAGAAAAACATGCACGGCCATGTTAGAATTTAAGAAGAAACAGATGTTCAGCAGATCCAAACGTGCAATGTGGGAAAGGCAAGAAACATGTCAAAACTCACGAAGGTGTGATTTTTATGCAGAGCAGGAACAGAGAGAGATCAGCAGCACCTGCAGGTTACATGGGGTTGAAGAGTGTAGGGACATAGCTGGGAATCCCAGGAACAATGAAGCTAAAGCTGCCCTGGTTCCTGTGCCCCTCTGAACACTTGCTCAACATTTGCAAGGTGTGTCTATTCTTCAATAAGAATAAGAGTGTTTTTTTTGTTGTTTTGTTTTTTGTTTTTTTTTATTTAGGGCTTTTTCCTGAAACCAGGTGGCGGTAAGGAAATAATGGGCAAAATATCACTTATACTCTTGGTCCTCCCCAGATCACCTTGTAGCTTGTGACCTTGTACATGCAACCATGGTTCGGCATCCTACCACCTATGCAGGTCATTTCTCTGCACCTCAGCCTCTTCATCTGTCAGAATGGGGTCACAGAGTGCCCACCACATGGGGCTGTGGTGTGGATTCCATGGTCAAATATTTATATAGTTAATATGCATGAAAGGCTCTTAAAGCAATGCGTGGCATAGAGTAAGCACTATGTAATGTTAGGTGTTGTGATTATTATTATTTATAGCATGACCCTGCAAGTATTAACGATTTGGGTAAGTTTTCTTGTTAAATGCTTCCTACCAGTGGTGTGCAAAAAGTTCCCTGAAATGGAGGTTATTTATTGCTTTCCCATACTGACTTGCCCACCCCACATTTTCCGAGGCTCTCGGGTTATTTTCTAGTGTGTTCTTGTCTATACATGTTTTATTTCTGGAATATCATCATTAACATTCTTTTCCTTATCTTTCTTTCATCTCTCCCACTTAGACTTCCGGATCAGGGGCGAGGTGAGGAAGTGCAACCCCGGGGATTGAGCCCTTCACCTCCGGCCTCGCCAAGGACAGAAGCCGGGGAGTGGCCCTGGGCGCGTCTGTCCGGTGGCTGCTGCTGGCCGAGCGCGTCCGCCTGCCCGCCTGGCTCAGGCTCCTCGGCAGCGGCTCTGCTCGCGGACACGGCCGGGCAGGGGCGAAAGGCCACCCCGGCGCGCGCCCCGCTTGCTGGGCACGGAGTCCCCGCGGAGGCCGGCCACCCGGGCGCGCGGCCGCGGGCAGGAAGGGGCCGGCGCTCGCTCCGCCCCGCCCGCCGCCCGCGCACGCGGACGGGCCGGGCGGCTGCGCGGGCACGTGGGCGCCGCTGTCACTCACGCGCAGGCTGAGCTTCGCGCGGCGGGAGCGGCGGCGGGCGGCGGCGGCGGCGGCGATGGGACCCCAGCGAGAGATCTGCAGCTAGGCCGGCTGCACTTGCTCCACGGGTCAGGGATCGCAGGGCCAGGTAACGCCGCGGAGCCGTGCCGCGCTCCCTGCGCGCAGCTCTCCAGCGCGCCCTCCCCGCTTTCCCCTTCCTCCCTCCTGGCGCGCACGTTCCTCTCTCTCTCTCTCTCTCTCTCTCTCTCTCTCTCTCTCTCTCACACACACACACACACACACACACACACACACACACACACACACTTCATTCGCTGACATTTGTCCCATGCACACGCCTCTGGACAGAAACCATGCTTATTAAAATCCGTGAAATTAGAGGTAGCCAACTCCATGCCTTGGTGGTTTGTGGTTTGCATTACGTAAGAATTTGGGGGTTGTACAGCTAAAAACTTAAGAGTTTCCTTCTTGTGAGAAAAGAAAAGTTGTGTATTAGCTAAGAATAAGATGCTTGTGCTGGGAGTCTGTAAAGCTGGCTTGATTTTTCCAGGCGGAATTAAGTCTGCACCGCCCTCCCTGCCCCTTTGCCACATCTGAAGATGTTTGTTTTGATCCCAGAACCTACTTCTTGGTGTTATTGGAAAGGGATGTTGGGTTGGGGATCTGACCCAAGCGAGCGACCTAAAGACAGCTGGAGTTGAACAGCTTAATTGGTTCCTGGCTCTGCTGAGAAAAATGTTGTCAGTACCTTGGAGAGCTCCCGGGGTCCAGACAGGCCAGCCTTGGGCCGAGGGCACGTGTGCAATCAGTTCCTTTAGACAAAACGGGAAAGCATCAGGGAAAAGAAGGAATATTTACTTGAGAGAGACAGAAACAAGGACAGAGATGGCGTTGGGGTCAGAGACAAGGATCAGGAGAGGGGAAGAGGGAGAATAAGAGATGAGACAAGGTTGTGAATGTAGCATCCTGTAGTTGACTGGTTTCCTTTTCTCATCTTCATCCAGGGTTCTAATATAATTTGCTTCTTTCCCCACATATGCTCACATGTACTTGAACTTTGGGGGCCAGGTCTTGAAGAAGGTTCAAGGACGCTCTACATAGACCCGCCCTGGAAATGCTAAAAACTGTTTGGTAGGCCTCTGCTGGGCTTACTCATCTCCAGTCTTTGAGTTCTCCTGCAAATGAATGGGAATTCACCAGGAAGGGTTTTTAATAGCCACCTGGAAAATACAGCCCCAATTGTTTTATTTCACAAGACTAGAGTAATATAGGAAGCCAGTAGCCAGCTCTATGGCTGGCAATGGCTTCCTAATTAAATTTTCCATGGGCACCTGCTTTTCTTAGGCAGATGGAAAGTAAAATGATCATGATAGGAATAAAATGAATATAGGCTGAAACAGCCTAATGAGAAAATTGTCCAAAGAGTCCAAGTAAGGGTATAATGCAGGTAAGCATATCAGAAACCATGGTGACCATAAGACTAATTTATTTTACAATATAATGGAACAAGCCCCATGGAAATCACTTGTGGAGTATCTAGGAAGCTGGTGTAGCAAACTAGTTGGCATTATTAACTGCATGAACTATAGTTTCAGCAAAATAAGAACAGCATTTATACAGTGTGTAATAGTTTAGAAAGTCTTTTTTATTTATGTTATTCTTTTACTCTACACATCAAAATGGCAGCCCATGAGAAAGTTATGAACTATAAGTTAGACTTCAGTTTTTAAAAAAACTATCTCAACTCTTGAACAAGAAGTTCTTTGTCAGTGTATCTGTCATCATTAAAATGGTTTTTATAAGTTCTATGAATGGCTTATGAAATTTCAATTTTGACTTGAATCACATCTGCAGAGATTTTTTTTTTAATTCATAGGATTGAAGAATGCACTGCTAAAAAAAAAAAAGTTCAAAGAGAAAACAACAGGCAGAGGGAGAAGAGGACTTCAAAGGTAAGACCCAACATTTATTGTGTGTAAATGCAGAATCACCTTGCAGTGTGCATGCAGATTCAGAAGAGAGTTTCAAAGGGAACATGGGTTCTCTCTCTCTACTCGTTTTGGCTTTGGACTTTATGTACTATACTAAAAATATGTATCTTAAAGGATTAAAGTAATTGATAATGGGATAATTACACATCATTACTCTTTTGTAAATTATGAAAGTGGCTACATATTCACTGACTTGGTATTAAAAAGCTCACAGTACAGAATCATGATCTCTACAACTATTCCAGAAAGATAAAGTATCTCTGACATGATCCAATGGTAGAAGCCCATCTTGAGGTTTCAGGTCATGCTGATGAGCTCCAGAAAGGCTGTCAGCAGGCAGCCCTGCCCCCCTGCCTCCCCGCGAGCCCCACCGAGTCCTCTAAGTGAGCTGACCTTTGGATCTGGGTCTGGATAAGTGGTCTAAATGGCCTGTGTGCCTGCACCTTGTCTCTTGCAGCACTAGCCCTGCAGAAAAGTGGCTTTAATGAGAACTTCACTTTCATCTTCTCAGAATTATTTTGAGGAAAAGAAAAGCAGTAGGAAAAATTGAATGGTATTTCAAAGTGAATAAACAGAAGGGAGCCTGTGCCTGCCTGGCCACACACTGACTCACAGCCGTGGGAAACACAGTCCGTTTTGTACCTCCTTTTGTTGCCTCTCTTCCCTCAAGGAGGCCGGGAAGACAAACAAGCGATCTTAGAGCTTCATAGGGCAAAAGCATTTATTTCTGTTTTTATGGATATAGGATTTTTTAATGTGAAATAAAAGGTAACAGCATGCAGGGCTGTGGTTGTGGCTCAGCAGTAGAGCACTTGCCTAGCACATATAAGGCCCTGGGTTCAATCCTCAGCACCACATAAAAATAAATAAATGTATAATATATATATATATATATATATATATATATATATATATATATATATATATAATGTTTTTTAAAAAAGGTAAGTAACTGCATGCATTGGACTGAAATTCAAATTCCCAGCAAAATGATGCTACTACGTATTGGTACATGTAGCAATCACAATACCATATTCAAGCATTTGTTTGCCTAACTAAGACATCCCTAAAGGGATTCTTAGCATGGCATTATCTCCTGCTGCAATGCCTCTTTATGATGCCCCTTTTGCTGCCTCCATTGCTTCATGAGTGTGTCCCCTTCCAGCCCAATAGTCCACTGAAGGCCCCCTGTGCCTCGCCCACTTCATAACAGCTCTCTCACAAGTGCCTGGCACAGAGCTAACACTTTAAAAACACTGGGGAAAAGGAAACCAGACATGAGGGACTACTCAGGATGCTACCCACCCAGGAAATTCCAAAGTACCAGAGATTAAAGTGGTGAACAGGATAGAAAAGCCGCCTCCTCCCTCATGGGGCTTACAGTCCATCAGACCACAAACAAGCCACACCTGGAATATCAGGTGGCAACAAGTGGCAGGAAGCCAAACAAACCTGAACGAGGGGACAGAGCAATGGGTGTTGATATCCGACACACAGATTGTGGCGATGGTGGCGAGTCTCTTGGAAGAATGCAGGAGTCTCCTCTTCTTCCCTGGTCTCAGAGAGGCCAGAGGCATGCCATGATGCAGATAAGTGAATAGTCTCTTGATGTATAACCATGCATGCAGTGAGACAGTTGCTGTAGACAGATAACAGCAAAAAGAAAGCCAAGGAGGATCACCTAGAATGCATTTCATTCAGGGAGATGAAAACAACGGCTTCTCCAGAGATGACCCAAGGACCCACCCATTTGTTGCCTGGGCTCCGTCCGGTTGCCAGGCAGAGAGGGAGAGGATGCCACGAGTGTTTGCAGATGTGTACTAACATGGTGTGACTTAAATGCAGTTCTAGAGGCATTTTTATTCTCCCCTCTACTCATGCTTTCTCTGAAGTGAGGAGCCCTCTGTGAGATCTGTCACTTAACAACACTCATATGCTTGACATGGCCATCTTGGCTGCCGCTGCTGCAGCTGCTGAAATACACCCAGAACCCCGGCAAACTTACTGGGAAAGAAAACACTGACCAAACTGCAAATCTTGGCACCCCCTCCATTCCTGTCCTGATCCTAGTTTACTGAATATGATTTAATGGTTGCCAGCTTTGAAAGTGACTTTATGAAGTGACCTCCTGTATCCTTTTTATAACACGAGAGATGTCCGTCAACCAAGTAGCTTCCAAATATTTGTAATATTCTCTGGGACAAAAAAAAAAAAGGTAGGGTCATGTCTGAGTCTGCCTGAGTCTGCTGAGATTTGGTAGGTCCACACCCTTCAAATGGTAGGTCCTTCTCCCTTGTCATATTTCAAACCTCATGTTCTTCCACAGGGTCGTTCTCCCCTGGAATTGAGTCCCAACTAGTTATAACTTGGCGAAGACATATTGATCCTCTCAGACCCCCAGACACTACTATTTTAGGTAACATACATTATACTGAAGCAGTGTGTTAAGCACAAAGCACACATCCTATGTAGCAGGTTAGCAGGTAACGAACCCAACCAGTAACTTGCATTCTCCTTTAAACTGAAGCTTCCTACACACTAGAATTAAGAATCTGGGACTGATGACCAATCAGGGTACTAAGGGAGGTAGGAAGTCAATAAATACAGTTTTGTTTTGTTTTTTTCAACAAAAAGTAATTGACTCATTCTGTGTATTTGTAGCCAAAAAATCCTAGAAAACTACATCTGGAAGACATTAAAGGTCAATCAGATCCAACTGTCTTATTTTAAGGACTGTAAAACCACAGAGAGGTCATGAGCATGCCTGAGAGCCCGTGAGCAATCGTGGGCAGCTCAGAAATGAGCATTTGTGTCCAGCCTCTTGTCAAGAGTGGTCAGCACAAGACAGGCCAGGTTCTTGTTCATGCTGTGTGCTCCTGAAGGGAAAGTGGGGCTCGTGGAGAGTCCTGTCTGCCAGGTATGCAGCCGCACTGAAAATCCATTCTGAGGAGAGGTTCCGGCCCAGAAGCATTGGTTCTGTGATGTTAGCTGTACCATTTCTCGGGAGGTGGGACCAGGGAGTCTGCTAAAGCAGGAGCATTGGGCTGCTGTGCAGAGTGGCTGTGGGAGATGAGGATGGTCTGCCACATGGTCCAGCCCTGCACCAGCTCAGTCCTGAGGAAGAGCCACTCAGCACTGAGGAGAGCTCCCACTGCCACTGCGAGGGGCTTTTTGTTCCTGTGGTGCCTGCTCTGTTCCTTCCCACGTTAGTCTCTGGTGCTTTATAGAAAACCTGAAATATGTATACCTGGATGAGTGGCTCTCACTTTGCAAGTATGTGATGCAGCCCGTGCCCCTGCTTATTCTATTAATACCACCTTTCCTCTCCTGACTCACAGTGTGACCTTTAGCAAGGTGATTTTCCTATGCCTCAGTTTCCTCAGTGACAAAGCAGTTAGTAATACGACTCGCAACTCCCCACGTCTTGAAGGTGAGTTTAAAATGATGCTGCTTACAGATCACTAGGGACAGGCTCTTATTAATCATCCGCATTGTCAAAGCACTAAATAGAAGGTACCGAAGAGCTCATCCTAGCACTTAAAATATGAAAAGTAAGCAACAGTCCTCTGACCCGTCAACCTCTGGTGCACTAATGAGGCAAAGAACATTCTGAGACCTTGACTTGTTATGGGATGACAGCCTTGTGAATCTGTAAAGATTAGAACAGTCGTTCCTTTACCTCCTCTGCACTGTCCTCCTGGGTGATTTCCTTTGATGTCAGCTGTACCCAGAACAAGGAAGTGGCAGCGGCACTAAATGCCACTGTGACCAACAGTAAGGCAGATGAGGCACCTATCTGGCCACCACCAACGGGGCTGCTCATGTCATCTTTCTAAGATCAGGCCACATCTTTCTGACCTTGACTGCATTTCTTAACCAAAAGCATCTGGGGCCAAGGGCACACATTTCCAAGATGTTGAGTGGGTTCACTTTGTGCCCCTGGGAAGGGACGACGTTAACTGTCCCAAGCTTGCCCCATGACTCTAGCCAGCCACACTGAGTGGCCACACACAGGCGCTAGATAGAATGACAGACGGTTGTCCTTATAGATAAGCATGCTAGTTGAGTTTTGACAATAAGTGGAAGAATTTAACATGTCTCTGTTGGCCTGCATTATAGCACAACAGAGGTTTCCCCTAAGAAAAATTGCCTTCTGTGTTCCCCCCCACTTTATCGTAGGTAGACTGTGTCCACACAAGGAAAGAAATCTAGAAGACCAATTGAAAAATGCAAACAAGCATTTCTTATTTCTAGCTGCACATCTATCTGCTTATGTAGAGATCAGAAAACCAAAGACAGGATAGCTGAGAATTCTCTGACTCACCAAAATTACTGCCCCTCAGTAATTACATTTTTAACTATGAATTATTAACCAAAATAAATGCCTCTCTCCAAGGGTATCAGTTAGTTCAAATTAAGTTGAAATTTCCATCTTAAAAAGATAGAGCCCCAAGCAGCCCGCCCACAGCATAGTTTCATTTAAAAACTCTGAATTCTTATTTATGCTGTAGACTTGGTTGGAAATCATAGAAGCCTGGATCTACTCTCTCCATTATACTCAAACCACCCACATAGACAGATGTATCCACAAATAATGACTGAAGTACATAGTGTTAGAGTTAGTGAGGTGTAAATTATTGACCGCGCCATTTGTGATTAATAAAGCATGAAGCGTATGTTGTTCTGAAGCATTTTAATCAAGCTTCTGTACAGCCTGAAAATCAGGATGTCAGAGAAAGATGCATGCAATCTGAAGGTGAAATTCAAACTAGTAAGATGGTGCTAGTCTCCCATGTAGAGTCCATCCACAGGGGAACATGGTGGAATGTATGAGAGGACAGTCCAAGACAAATTCCATCTGTAGCAAGTGAGAGTGCCTGCTTCCTGCTCTAACAAGTAAGCCTGAAAACGCCTTGATTCCAAGCTATTAAAGATTCCGTGTCCAGGTAATGAAAATCTCATCTTCCTCATTGCCTTTTCTTATGTGTCCTGCGCTTAAGTTTTTGCATAATTTAGGGGCCCCTGCTGCAGTGCCTGGTTTCACTGATAGAGAACCTGTTCTAGCCATTGATTGCTGGGGGTAACTTTGCATTCAACAGAAAAGAAGAGCAGCTTACAAGGAAGACAGGTCTTCCAAAGTGTCTTTCCTCTTAAGAAAGGAGGGTGGTTCCGATAGAATGACATTATTCAGGCGAGTTCTCACCTTTAGTGTGTCTCCTGACCCCGAGCCCAGAGCCTGGGGGCTGATGCAGGTGGTGCTGTCCTTCCAGCTGGGAAGAATGACTTCTTGCAGCGGCAGCGGCTGTGGCTCCACACAGGTGCAGGCTGCTCCCGAGGGCGGCCACCAGCGCTACGGAGTCCGGTCCTACCTGCACCAGTTTTACGAAGACTGCACCGCCTCCATCTGGGAGTACGAGGATGACTTCCAGATCCAGAGGTCACCCAGCCCGTGGAGCTCTGTATTCTGGAAGGTAAGGAAGGAACGTGGGTTTCACTTGGCAACAGGGAGCGTCACACATGGTAAATACTGTGGCTGGGGGAATCAGGAGGTTCAGGGCCCCATGTGTGCCACACTCTAATGACACTAGATAGTTTCCTCCCCTTAGGGAAGGAGAATCTGGGCCCTGGGCCCAAAGAGGCCCCCAAGTGCAGTGCGACTGTGTCAGTTCACTGACTGAGAAACCACCATAGGTAAAGGACACCCTTCCAGCCCCCCTTACAGACTTGGGTCGTTTGACAAATTGCAGCAATTGTTTAAAAAGGATACAATTAGGTATTTAGAGAAAGCGAATTCTGAGACATGATACAGTGGTCAGAATACCTCTTCCTCACAGGAGGCTCTGGGGAGCCACATTAGACAACCCACACGGTCCTCCGCCACCTCTGCGGGCACCGACTGCGTGCTGAGAGGGTTCGAAGTACTGGAGATTAGAGTGAGGAACTGGACGAACCCCTGCCCTCAGGAACTGATGGCCTGTGGTGGGAAACAACCAGGGACAGGAAAAGCCCGTGACAGATGTCAGGTAGTGACAAGGGCCGTAAAGGGAACCAGGATGAGCAGGGTGACGGAGGCCGGTGTGTAGTGCGTGGACAGCAGAACGCCTTTCAGAAGAGATGGAACCGGGCGGAGACCAGGGCGAGCCGAGGGAGCAGACCCAAGCTCATCAGGCTGAAGGTGTCCTGTGCTGGGAAACCGCAGGTCCCCAAGCCCTGACAGGAGGAGAGGTCCAGCGTGGCTGGAGTGGAGTCAGAGAAAGGACAGGCGGATCCAGGAAAACAGCAGCACACAGATCGATGTGGGGTCCGCAGATGACCGTGAAGCTTTGGGCTTTTACCTCCGCAAAGCGGGCAGCCCCCTGCAGGTGTGTGCAGCAGATGGCACAGTCTCACCAATATCAGAACAAGATCCTTCCGGCTGCCATATGGAAAATAGAGTATCAGTGGGCAAAGGTGAGCAGCCAGATGACCTCAGCCATTGTAAAAGCTCCCTGGTGAGAATTGATGGCAGCTTAGACCAGGGTGGGCCGGTGGAAACGGTGACAGTCAGTCCAAGTTAGCACTAAGTTTGAGAGCAGGCTGTCAAGATGCTGATGGACTGGAAGTGGGGTGTGAGGGCCGCGAGTCGCGCACGACCCAGGACCTGCATGGTAATGGTGTGTGGCTTACTAGGAGAGAAAACACCAGAGAGGTAATGGTGTGTGGAGCGGGCAGGGGGAACCAGGAGGTGCCTATTAGATATCCAAGGAGAGATCCTAATGGCCATTTAAATACACCAAGCCACAGCTCATGGCTTTGGAGTTACTGACACAGAGTGCATAGAACACAGCCGAGATCACCTAGGAAGAGAACTGGACACAGAGAAGAGGGCACTGGGACAGCCCGATGTTTAGGAAAGGAAAAGAGGAGACATAAACTTGCAATTTCCTGGTGATATAGTATAACAAGCAGCAGTACAGTGTGGTGAGTGTCCTCATGGCTTCCTCCCCCAGACTACAGAAGTTCAAACCCCCGCTCTCCTCTCCCACAGCCCTGTGACTTTGGGCCTCCCAACAGTAACACTCGAAATACCCACCACAGAAACATTGTGAGAATTAAGTAAGATAATATTTACAAAGAGCTTAAAACAATGACTGATTCACACCCAATTATCATTTGCTAGACTAGTTACTTCTAGATGCTAATCTAGAACACTGAGTTCTTAAATGGAAATAAAACTGGAAATCTATTTAATACGTACACATTGGGCAGCACAGTTGTTAACATGGTTTACCCAAGACCGGTGCTAATTCAGACTCATGCTATGGTCACATGCTCTGCATTAGAATTAGTCAAGTCAGCATCCTTGCCCTCTAGAAATAGCCCCTCCAATGAATTCTCCCTGGCCTGGACCAATGAAATACCCAGCCATGCTCACCATGTCTCATATTTCCTCAGATAAAACCAGGTGGTTGCATGGTTACTTTCTGCTCCTCTCTCCATCCCTATAGCTACAGAGGAGAGAGGGAGAGAGACCTATTGTGCCAATAGCTTTGTATCTACTGACATACAGGTTATTACAAGCATTCATGTACACCCAAAGCAGGCCAAGTTCGTAGTCTCATAGTTATTTATGTTCCTGCAAAGTCCAAGTCCTAGATTCGTACCCTAATCATTAAACACTAGAAGCCTCACGTCAACCTGCATGACCTGAGGATTCACTGTCCTAGAGCCCTAATCTGTACCAAGGGAGTAAGCCAACTGTTCTTGAGCTGCTCCGCGGGAAGGCGAGTGAATTCACTTCGGTGTTTATGAAGTGCTCTGTGCCAATGCAGAGAAAGGTACCAGTCATGCACCTGTTTCTGTTATGTGCCTTTTCAGTGTTGTTGGGTTCTTTTTGCATTTCAAGTTGCATCTGTAGGCAGTTCAAGTGCTGGTGTCCCCTCTTGACCCTTCATGTTCCCTCACTGGGGCTGTGCTCGTAGTACCCCGACAGGGCTCCGTACTTGAGCTCCTGAGCAACAGGCAGCATGAGGGGTTTCTCGAGGACACAGATTTCAGCAGGTCTGAGTCAGAGTGTTGCCCTATCATAGGATCTACATAACATCTCCCTCACAGTGCTACTCTTCCTTTCTTTCTAGACTACCTGGTGGGCTCTTAGATTATACAAGATGCATTCTTCACCTCCGAATAAGACTCAGCCCCTGACCTGAGGGAGCCCACGGTCAGGCAGGGGAAGTAGACATGGGCCCACACTGTTACCGCGCAATGTGCTAAATGCTCCTGTAGAAGCGGTCATGGCACTTCCTGGGAACACAGGGTTCAGGGAGCAGGGAGGAGTATGTATCTGTTCCAGCCTGGAGAAGTGGTCCCACCCACAAAGGGGCCCACCCATGTGCAAGCAGGAGACGGGCAGCCCAGGAGGAAGAAGTGCATATGCATTTCTGAGCTGGGAGAGGTGGTAGCATGATCCAGACTCTGCAGACAGTGTGGTCCAGGTGGAGTAAACATGTACAAGTTCAGGGAGAGGGTCACATATGAACCGAAAATGCACGCAATGAGCAGATCACAGAAGTCTATGAAAGATGCGCAAGAAATCTTCCCCAGGACCTCTAGGCTTGAGGAAGGCAAGAAAATAATGAATTTGGGTTTTCCTGGGAGGGGAGGGAATATCTCACAACCTGGTATAAACACACACACACACACACACACACACAGAAGGTAGCACCCTCTGGGCCTTGGAATCCTGGGTTACATGGGCTGTAGCAGCTGCTGTGGTTTACCCAATGCCTGTGGCTTCTTCCATCTTTAAAAGTCTACATGATGTGGTCCCATCTGTCCTCTGCCACTCGCTGCCGCCCAAGGATCAATCAGGCGGAAAGTTGTTCTGATCCTTGCATTCGACCTTGACGAAGGCTGTGGCCACTGGATTGTCTGTGCAGCACACAGCCCAGGATGCAGGCATTATCCAGTCTTCGCGCTCCCAACCATCCTCTCCTCACCTCAAGGTTAACCTTCTACCTTCTCCTCAGCCTGTCTCGGAAATTGTTCAGAGGGCACTCGACACCACGTGCCTCCTCCATAGCCTTACTAAGGTCGAGGTGGCTCTGTCCCCTCTCTTCCCGCCCTGGACCCCAGTTAAGCTCCTCCTCTCAGCTAATTCCTCTGAGCTACATCGGAATTTAAACTTAGATTTCTCTTCAAAGTTCTGGTGGATATTAAAGAGTTGGGTCAGGAGCTGTAGGAGACTATTCAGAGAAACCATGTGACGTAGTTTTTGTTTTAAAAGACTTCTCAGATGACACTAGAAGGATGACTAGCAGTGGAGATGAGGCTGCTGCTGTGAACATCCAGGCCAGAGGTGATAATGGCTTCTGCCCTCAGAGCAGCCATGTGGAGGGGAGAGAGAAGGTTCATGAGATTTTTATGAGGTAAAATCAATATGAGGCGGACTCTGTTGGCTGTGAATGTGAGGAAGTTCTCTGGGAGTGGGCAGAGGGGAGGAAGACAAAGAAATGGGAACAGGTTGGGCTTGAAGAACCTTTGGGACATTTTTCTATAACTCATGCTATTTGGAAACAGGGTATCAGAACTACATCTAGAAACGTGGTCTAGAGCTCAGGACAGCAATTCAGATGGCCTTGGAGATTTGGAAGTCTTTGATAAGAAGTAGAAGCTAAAACCACAGCCTTAGACCAACCCTAGTGAGAACATACTGAAAAAGAGGTGGGGGTCAAGGGCGGAGCCTGCGACGGCAGTAATGGGCAGAGGGCTGAAGCGAGTTGTTATGCGGAGGGCGTGTCAGAGGTGACTCCAGGGGGGGGGGTTCAAGAGGGGCTAAGGGTGTGATATCAAAGGCTGGAGAACATTCAAGTGAGATGAGGAAAGAAAAGTCACATTGGCTTTGATAATCGGGAGGTCATCAGTGACCAGAGAGAAGGCGGTTGGTTCTGAGGTAAACATGGAGGACTAAGAATGGCAGTCAAGAGTAGGAATGACCCCAAGCAATGGGACGCGGGCTCCCGAACACACTGTGAAGACGGAAGCTATTGGATGTGCTTATAGTGTGCTGGAGGAAAAAAGTCTTGGGGTGGGGGCTGGGGGGGAGACCCCAATGGCCAGGTGGAGGGACCATGGGGAGACCCCAATGGCCAGGTGGAGGGGACGTGGGGAGACCCCAATGGCCAGGTGGAGGGGACGTGGGGACACCCCAATGGCCAGGTGGAGGGACCATGGAGAGACCCCAATGGCCAGGTGGAGGGACCATGGGGAGACCCCAATGGCCAGGTGGAGGGACCGTGGGGAGACCCCAATGGCCAGGTGGAGGGGACGTGGGGAGACCCCAATGGCCAGGTGGAGGGACCGTGGGGAGACCCCAATGGCCAGGTGGAGGTGACATGGGGACACCCCAATGGCCAGGTGGAGGGACCATGGGGAGACCCCAATGGCCAGGTGGAGGGACCGTGGGGAGACCCCAATGGCCAGGTGGAGGGACCGTGGGGAGACCCCAATGGCCAGGTGGAGGGGACGTGGGGAGACCCCAATGGCCAGGTGGAGGGGACGTGGGGAGACCCCAATGGCCAGGTGGAGGGGACGTGGGGAGACCCCAATGGCCAGGTGGAGGGGACGTGGGGAGACCCCAATGGCCAGGTGGAGGGTGCTGGGAAGATGGTGCGAGGTCAGGCCCCAGGAGGAGCCTGACCATTGCCTGACCTTGGTACTTGCTTGGTAAAGCTCGGTGTGAGCTGAGGCAAGTAGGACTTATGAGCTAGAATCTGCTCAGAGTGTGTGAGGGAGAAGTCGCAGCGGCCCTGGCTGAGGAAGGAGAGGAATCCAGTCTCTGCTCTTGGCTCGCTCTCCCTGAATAACCTCCAGCCCAGATGGCTCCTTCCATCCAGCTCCCTCCAGCACTTCCCCGCCGCCAATGGCGCCTCCGCCTGCGGGTCCTCCCCCCAGCGGTCATCACTGCTCCTCTGACAGCAGCTGCAGCTCTGCCTCCTGGAGGAGCTGCGTCTGCAGACCTGTCTGCTCCGAGGAGCAACAGAGGGCCCTGGTGCAGACAGCAGCGGTCTAGAATCCCAGCCCTCTTCCCGACAGAGGATCTGGGTCTTCACACATCCTGCGCCCTACCTAGACAGACCAGAAGTCGCAGCCCAAACACCACCTCGCTACCCTCTGGGGTTTGTCACGGCCTGACAGGTCCTTGTCCCCGGCCACTAGGGTGGACCTCACTGCCCCACAGCCCTGCTGGGTTGGGGTGGGGTCTCCCCAGTAGCACCTCAGCTCCTCCACAAGGCCCTAAGCAGAGCCGCTTTGCTCCCGTGAACCCTCCAATAACCCCTGTGCTGCCATTGACTGTACTCTGTCGGTTTCACGGGACCCTCTTTCTCTTAGGTCCAGGTCCACTTCAACTGAGAGCTGCGTCCAGAAACAAGTCTTATGATATACTGAACAGAGTCAGTCCCCAAAAGGTCACTCCCCCAAAGTCCTGTTCCTTCCATTACTCCAGCACAGCACGGGGGCGGGGGGGGGGGCCTGCACGTCCCCTCGTCACGCCCACAGTCCTCTCAGGGAAGTCCTGAAGCAAGTCCTCCTCATTCTGTGGTTGCCCTTTTGCCTACCACGCCCAGCTCTCCCTGCCTGTCCGTGGGTTCCGAGTTCCTCTCTGGGCATGTTTCCTGGGGTCCTCAGGATCCTTGCAGTCACCTGTCCATCACATCCTCCCCTCCTTCTTTGGCTCTTCTGGAGCAGTGGGGTGAGTCACTTTTCCAGTTCCGACAGTGAGCAGAGCTGCCATCTGCAAGCCACAGTTTGCCTTTTCGCTTCAGGGTGACATTCCAAGAGTGGATTTTCATCTCATGCGCTGCTCCGCTGGGGAGCGGGCTGCACTGAGAATCCGTCACCTGCCCCTGCTCCATGTTGGGCGGTCTGGTGGTTGGAGTTAGGGATAGTTATTGAACGTCAGGCTGGACCAGGAACTCCGGGAGACGAGGCAGAGGCAGACAGATGGAGGGCGCTGGCTCACACACTCGTCAGAAGCTCAGAAACTAAGATGGAGGCTTTCCTGACGCCCACCATGTCTGAGGATGAGTGCCAGTTCTTAAGGAGGAAGGCGATTTAGTCATACAGGAAGCGTGGCTCCATGGGTATTTAAGTTCACTTAGTCGGTACATTCAGAATTTTCCAAAGTGAGTCGTTTTCCAAAAGTTATGAATACTGTTTAGACTCCAAAGGTAAACTTACTTGCCACTATTTTTAGAAAGTAATCCAAGGTGTCATGCTTTTCAGCCATTTTTTTTTCCTGCAGTACTTACATCTTATGTAGAACAGGTTTTGTTTTTTTAGTAGACATCATATTGACTCTTTTTTTTTTTTAGTTTCTTCACAAAATTACATTAAAGGACATGTGCCCATATATAGGTAGCTGAAACTCTTTTGAAATAAAAGTAATAGTAAAGGAATATGCAAAATAATAATTAGTGAAGTAATAGAGAAAGAAGAGATGGGGGATCACATAGACCTGGATTAGAATATGATCCAACCACCTGCTACCCATGAGATCTGGAACTCTGCTTCTTAGACCCTGTGACCCCCTATTTCTAAAATAAGTGAAACAGGAATGAAAGTTCTCCTAACATGCTTATAAAGATTAAATGAAAATATATCTAGCACTAGGCCTGGGCCACAACAGACAGTCCTCCTTTCCCCTGCTTAATGGGTTATGAATATATTTTCCTTCTGTTAGGCAAATCTCCTTCATCAGTGCATCATCCCTAAAATTTAGTATACCAATACACACACTTTAAATACTCAAGAGTGAATGATATTATTTGGTTCTTTATCCAACCTTGTTATTCTAACTAAAAGCAATAAGGAAGGAACAGGAGAAAATGAAAATTTTTGCTTGAAAAATTGTGTAACTGTTAACAATTCCTTGTTCCAAGAGTAATGTTAACTATTCCTTAGTCTAAACACTAAGCAATTGTTCTAATACCAATATCCATGCAAAATAACGATTTTACAAGGAGTGTATTTCCAAATAATGGTGATTTGTCACAATTTATTACTTAACCAGATGCAAAGCTAAGTGCACATTTAACTCACAACCTGTGAGGCAGGTACTCTTATCATTTGTCCCTTTGTCAGTGGGAAAATTAAAGAAGAGAGAAGTGACTCTCCCTCTATGGTCCCAGCACTAGGTGGCATGGCTGGAACCAAACACATGACTCCAGCCACCAAATGGTAAGTCATGCTCCATCTCCAGTGCTGCCTTCCACAGAACTTAGTGCATTTCAAGCTCCATCTGCTACTCTGAACATTTAGTAGCTGCTGCAGCTCAGGTAGCTACAGGAGGATAGAAAAAGCCCTGGGCTGGGCTGGGCTGGGGGTCAGCCCCATGGTTTCCCTGCCCTGCCCCTGAAGCTTGGGACCCACTCATCTTTGACCCAGCGACCCACCCTGTGTGGCTACATGTCCTTTCCTATAAGCTAACAGGTATGTTTCCTGCCCTGCTTGCTGGGAAAAGGCTCAGGAGGTGGTAAGGATCGACAGTGTGCTCTAGCCCAAACCACCAGGAACATATCTCTGGGCTGAACAAGTTGGGGACCCAGCGAGAGTGTGAGAAGATGAATTATTATAGGCTTTGGTTGGGTGATTGGAGAAGGGTAGGAAGAAGTGGAAGAGGGTCAGGGAGAGTCTACAGCTGGATGTTTAATAAATCTTATCTCTAGGGAAGGAAGATGATAGTGAGGCCAAAGCAAGAAGCAGCCCTCGCCACATGGTCAGACTGGCCAGAGGAGTGGAGGTTGGGCCTTAGTGGCTTGCACCATGACCTTGGTTGGGTCTGAGCTGAGCCTCGGCTGTGAAGTGCGCTTGTCCTGCCTCACTCCCTCACAGCCACAGGAGGAGCAGACTGTGCCCGACAGAGCCTGGCCTCGCTGTGAGCCGGCAGCCAGCTCCTGACTGCCCAGCGTGCGGAAGAGTCGGGCCAGCTCCTGCTCCTCTCTTCCCTGAAAGAGGGTTGTGCCATCTGCCAGGGCAGGCGCCGTCCCCACGGGAGACCACCAGATGCAGCCTGCACTTTTCGGTTGACATTCAACCCAGAGAGGTCTTCTTTCCCCTTGGTTTTTAGGTAGAAAATCAAGTCGACTTTTCACGTGGCTGTGGCCTGACTGGGAAGACTCCCTTCTCTCCAGAAACCCCACAGGCCGTCCTTGCTGCTCAGGGTGGAGCCGAAGCCCTCGCTCACTCATCTCGCTTCTGTTCTCTCTCCAGGTCGGACTCATCTCGGGCACAGTCTTCGTGATTCTCGGACTGACTGTCCTGGCAGTGGGCTTTCTTGTGCCCCCCAAGATCGAGGCGTTTGGCGAAGCCGACTTTGTGGTGGTCGACCGGCACGCCGTGCAGTTCAACGGCGCCCTCGACCTGTGCAAGCTGGCAGGGGCCGTGCTCTTCTGCATCGGGGGCACGTCCATGGCAGGGTGCCTGCTCATGTCGGTGTTCGCGAAAAGCTACTCCAAAGAAGAAAAATTGCTTCAGCAAAAGTTTAAAGAGCGAATTGCCGACCTCAAGGCCCACACCCAACCCGTCACCAAGGCACCGGGCCCAGGGGAAACCAAGATTCCAGTCACTTTGTCCAGGGTTCAAAATGTCCAGCCTCTCTCCGCAACCTGACACCCTCCCCGCCCTTCCCCCTCTCTGATTCGCACACATGGTTCAGAGGCGTTGGCCAGCTTCCCGGGTGAAGGATGGGCGCTGACAACCAGGGCGTGTTAGGCTGGGGGCAGCTGGCCTAGTGCAGAGCTCACACTTGCTCAGCTCAGGTGACGCTCGCGAAGGTAGCAGCCACGTGTTAGCCAATGCATACGCACCCAGCTGCATAGGACGGGTGCTCTGAGTCCCCACCGGGAGCCCCTCCGCAGTTCCTCTCCGATATTGTGGCTTTGTGTTCCTTTCCGCGTCATTTGACCAGCCGCCCATGAGTGACTTGGTCCATTTTACTTTCCGACACTGGTTTTCCAACGCTGCGTGGTGCTGTCTTCCACCCTGTGCCACTGTGTGCAAGAGGTTGTCCTGTGTGCTCGTAGAAATGCGGAGTTTCCAGACTTGGATCCAAACACTAGTCTTTTAACTATATCTCAACATGAAATTCCTGAGATCGGTTATAAATTCATTAGTGTTCTGCATAAATCTTTTTGTTTTCTCCACTTTTTTTTTCATTTCAAAAGCTAAAATTGCCAACTTTAGAATCTTGGTGAAAAAATTTAATATGAGGAGTATCTAAAAGCAATGTTCAAAGGCACAGAATTAGAGGCCAGGAAACCTGAGTTCCTGCTCCTCCCTCGCTGTGCGACTGTGCAGAAAGTAATTAGCTCCCTCAGCCTCAGTCTCCCCGTCTGCACAGTGGGCTCTATGGGCCTCCCCTGCTCAAATGTCTTTTGAGATTCTCTTTTTGCCATGTGTCATTGAGTGTCTCCCCCAAGAATGTTAATGTGGTTCTGTGGCTCTCACCATGGTGGGACTTTTTCAGAACTGAACTCCTAGAAGGCCACCGAGTCTGCCAGCTTCTCACTACCTACCTTAAATATCCACCCCAGCAACTTATAGCACGCTGTCATATTTTTATAAAGATAAAAGTAAGCCATCCTCAAATAAGAAGCCCCTGGGCGGATAGTAACCTTAAAGGGGGGTTTTGTTCTCAAATAAGATGTGTTGTTCCCCAGCAAGATGTCCTCTTTATCCCTTGCACTTAATCTGTGGATTTGAATTAGATGGAGGAAAACAGAGGTGTGACCTTGGTACTCTCTCAGACTCTGGGCCGCTCCCCTCCCCCTTCACTGGATAAATAAAATACGTGAACTAGACAAACCCGAACTGCACGGTCATTCCTTCAGCCTGGCTATTTTCTCTCCTGCATGTAGTTTTCCATTTTGAGGGGGAATCAGCTCTGATTGTCTCTGGCTACATGGAAGAATAAAGGAAGCCGTTAGTGCTCGTGGTGCCCTGTTCATTTTGTACAGTGCAGCCTCAGACACGGGGCAAGTCAGCCTCCTTGGCCAGACAGGAGAAGTCGTTCTGGTTGCTTCAGGTGCTCGACTTCCTGTGGAAATCCCTTAATTGCACTCGTGAAGCTGTGTGCAAGCCCCATGCATCTGTGCAAGATGGGCACCATCACCCAGCGCCCCCCCCCACCTGCTCGCCTCTGTCTTGAAGACCAGTGAATCTCAGAGAATGAGTCTTGACTCTAAAGCCTTCAGACTGAACAGTAGCAGCTGGAGGGACTTGGGCATGTTTGGGTACAGGCGCCATGGCAGCCCTCAGGAGCCCCTGTGCTCCTCCCAGAAGCCCCCCGGAAGCCAGGACCCACAAGTCTGTGCCAGTCTGAAGGAGTGACTCGGCACTGTCTGGCGAATAGCCCCGGCTCTGTGGGAGTGGGAGCCTGCAGGCACCCTCCCAGCCCTGGGGGAGAATGGAAGCCACTGCAGCTAGCAGAGGAAGGACGGCATTAGGAAGCAGTTGGATGGTTGGAGAGAACAGGGGCCATGTGCAACCAGAGAGTGAGAATCAACACACCGCTAAGCTCGTCTGGCCTGGACGGGGCAGGCGGCGTCAGGGGACTGGCAAAGTGGAAGGGCTGTACAGACTTGGTTCCGGCCTGACTGCTGGCACCTGGAGACCTGCATGACCTACCGAAGAGCCTCTGAATGAGACCCGCAGCTCGCAGACGCACACACACCTGGACTGATAGAAGCCTAGGTAACGGGTCCCAGCTGAAGACCCCCAGGCAACACCACCCACTGGTCCAGCACCGCCCTTTGCTGGGGCTCTCTCAGGTGGTGGACCAGCCTACGGGCTCCCAGGGCAAAGCGCCATGCCCTGTGGTGGCTCCATGAGGCTGGACTCTCATCCTCACAGAGAACCTGCCTTTGTACCCTCCCACCTGACGGACCCACTCGCCCACTCCACCCCAGCCCTGCATTGTTCAGTCAATCCTGTCTCCTCCCTGGTTCTCTTCCGGAGCCACATTTCCATGTGTTCTTCATGTCTTCCATTTGTCCACCTATTAAATGGAGCGTCCCCCCCCCACTATGGCCAAGTTTAAAAAAACTACGTTAGACATTCTGGAACTTCATTGACCTCACTCACTGCACACAGGCCCCCGGCCAGAGGACTGAGGTCAGGAGGGGTGTTCTGGCACACTGAAGCACCCTCTCTCCCAGTGGACTCCACTCCGAGGCCGTGTCCCAGCAGTAATGACCTGACCCTCCTCTAGACAGCTGCCAAGGCCCAAGGCCACAGCAGGAAGTGATGGCATGGGAAGAACTGAAGTGTGAGGAGTGGGGACCCTTGGAGGTATTCCATACCTATGAAGCCCCCCTAATCCCCACAAAGCTCTGTGGGGTCTCAACTGTTAGCATTGTCTGTTCTTTAGGGGAGGAATTAGCGAGGAGACCCATCCAAGGACAACCTGCGAATAACGGAGGCGAGATCTGAACCAGGAGGCACTCAGAAAGCTGACTTCGGTGTGCAGAAGGGCTGCCTCTCCCCTGCCATTCCTGACATCATTCTTCCCCTCTCCCTCCAACACACACACACACACACACGCTGTTGCCAGGATTTGGCCTCACAGCTGCACCTTCCATTAGAAGCTCCAGTTAGCTCCTGGGGCGCGAGGAGCAAGTGTGGAGGTTAAGTGCGCCCCAGAAACAATCACATAAGTGTTAAGTGCTCATTTAAAACAACTCGTGCCTTGTGAACAGCAAGGACCCTGCTGCCACTACACACAACAAAAATGACATGAGCAGGAGCTTTGAGTGGGTTCCCTCGTGTGGGCATGGCCAAGTGCCTGTGCAGGCGTGACTGTGGGCTACAGCGCCGAGACTGACTTGTGCTTCATTGAAATGAAAGTTTTAAGCCAAAACTCCATTCCCGACTTCCACGGGCAGATGCGACCTACGCCTCTGGGTTTCTGGAGGTGGGTAAGGTCTGCAGAAGGTTGACGTGCCTGTGCAGCCAAAGAGCATGACAATAGGTTGGACTACACTCACCAGCCTTAGCAGACCCCAGCCCTCACCAGCCAACACCTAGGGGTTTCCCTCAGACCCCACAACTGAGGTCCCCAAACCAGAGGAAAAGCCGCAAAAGCAGAATACATCTCACCCCAACACCTTCCCACGGCCGGCAGGAGACACGTTCTGGCTGCCCGACAACCGTCCACAGGGGTTACATAGCACTTGGGTCACTGCTGTTGGCCCAGCTCTGCTAATTAGGGTTTGGAAACCTACTAAGCTGTTGGTGGGACCTCATGCCCCTCAGGAGGCTAAGGCTACTGGTCAGCTCTCAAGGTCCCACGTCCGTTCAGTCGGCCCCACTCCTGCTTTCTCTGGTGGCTGAGGGCGCTGGGTGGTCTGTGCTGGAGGCTCCCACAACAGGCAGAGGCACCATGCCCTGGCCCTGCAGCAGAGGGGGGCAGGTGGCCATGTTGGCTGACAGTGCCTCAGGACCACAGGCCTGTGGCCAGCTCCGTGAAGTTTAGGCCGTGCTGGCCCCCGCTCCAACCCACCCGGCTGCAGCTCACCATTCCCGGGGCTCTGCTGCTGCCCGCCAGGGAGTCTGTCATCGTCTTGTGAGTGTGACTGTGCAGGGATGTGCGAATGCACGGGACCGTGTGCAGGGTATGTGACTGTGACTGAGGGTGTCAGTGCGTGAGTTCTGTGACCATGTGAGTGTGGCAGCCACATAAAACAACTCCATTCCTCATATTAGTGTGTGACCCCTGTGTGTATAAGTGTGTGAATGTGTGTGACCTGGTGTGCGTGAGACCCCTGTGTGTGTAAGTGTGTGAGTGTATGTAACCAGGTGTGCATGTGACCCCTGTGTGTGTGAGTGTATGTGACCAGGTGTGCATGTGACCCCTGTGTAAGTGAGTGAGTGTATGTGACCGGGTGTGCATGTGACCCCTGTGTATATAAGTGTGTATGTCACCAGGTGTGCGTGTGACCCCTGTGTAAGTGAGTGTATGTGACCGGGTATGCATGTGACCCCTGTGTATATAAGTGTGTGAGTGTATGTCACCAGGTGTGCATGTGACCCCTGTGTAAGTGTGTGTGTGTGTCACCAGGTGTGCATGAGACCCGTGTGTGTATATGTGTGTGAGTGTATGTGACCCCTGTATGTGTGTGTGTGTGTGAGTGTGTGTGACCAGGTGTGTGTGAGACCATGCCTGTGTGTGTATGTGTGCGTGTGTGTAGCAGCCACGTGGAAGCAGCTGCGTTCCTCAATCCCCAGCCTCCAGCATACAGAAATGCTAGTGTGGCTCCAGCGAGAGGCGGGAGGGAGAGCCGCTGGCCAGCTCCGGGGTGGTCTCAAGCCCACAGGCAATAGCACAAGTAGCCTCCACCGACTTCCAGCATGACCAGTGCCACGAGAGGCCTGGGAGGTTCTGATGAGCTCCCCGGGGGCAGGAGCACTCAGAAGTCCCCTGGAATGCTCAAACAAAATGTGGCCAGGCCACCAGAAGAAAACACCTCTCTAGGATGAAAAGCAAGACACTATGAAAAGAACATCAAATAGTTTAAAATTCAAAAAATACTAAAAGAATAAATTGAAAGCACGCTAGAAAGTCAAACACCTTCATTGTAAAAAATGAAAACTATGGGTCAAAGGTAAAGACGTGCACATTCAACCAAGAAGGAAGAATAATAGAGAAGAAATTGCCAGTAAGATAACAGAAGATAATTTCTCAAGGCTCTGGAATTCAGAAGTATTCAGGTTGGAGGTGCATCTTGCATTTGCAGCAATATGATTTTTTTTAAAGTCAGACACATTTTTGTGGAATTTTTGGACACAAAAGATGAAAGGATCCAAGAAGCTTCCAGAGAGAACAACAGGCCAGCTATAGAATGATAAAAATCAAACTGGGAAGAAAGAGAGTGCGATCCCAGGCAACAGAGGGTAAGGCCGCTTTGAGCCCAGGGGAAATACACGTTAACTCTGATCAAGAAGAATAAAGAGGCCACAGAAACCCCAGGAAGAAAACTTCAAAATAAATTGCACAAGGAAATCATGGTTCGAATATTCAGCATGACTAGGACACTATGGGCAAGAACGGAGAGAACAGAAGAAAAGAGAGGCCATCGGAAACCTGACTTTCCAGCGGGTTCTTTCTATTTCTAGTAGAAAAGGAGCTGACACCATGAACCCAGGGAGAAAAGATAGAACCGGGTCACCCCAGTTTTCTGCAGCGACAACATTTCAAAGCCCAGCGTAATGCAAACGCTGCTCACCTGCTTCAATGTTCAGAATAGAGCTGCCACCCAAAGAAAAGTCTCGATTGTGAAGTGGGCTAAATATGTGATAAAGATATGTGACACGCTCAATGGTGGAACAAAGACAGAGCTAGCGATGCTTGGAAACTGAAGAGAAAAGATAAGGGAGACGATGGAGATCCTAATGTCCTTGACTGACTTAATGAGTCCAGAGGAACCGTCTCAGTTATTCAGGCTGCTATAACAGCAAAACAGCATAACCTAGGAGGCTTCTAAACAGGAAAGTCTGGGACCAAGGTGCCACCAGACTGTGTCTGGTGAGGACTCTGGTTCACAGATGGCACCTTCTGGTTCTGTCCCCACATTGTGGCAGAAGAGAACTCTGTAAAAAAAGCATGAACCCCACTCATGGGGGGCTCCATCCCAGAGATCTCTTTGGTGTCTCTTCTTGCCGTGGAACCAGGGACGGGTTTCAACCTATGACCTGGACACTCACTCTGGGGCAATGACTGTCCAAGGATTTCAGGAAGAAACACGGGCCGACGTTTACCATTTAGTCCTACAGGTAGCCCAGTGACAGAACTAGAACCAAATCACAATGAGGAG